TGCAAAAGAAATAACAAGCAACGAGTAGCGAGAAATGAAAGAGAAAGTAGACTAACTGATCGGGGCATAGCAAAACACTAAGCAGCGAGTGACAAGTGACGAGCGATTAGCGTAGCGAATCCATAAGCAACGAGTAGCGAGTGGCGAGCGATGTGAGAGAATGTAAACTTAATAAATCGAGCCATAGTGAATTAATAAACAACGAGTAGCGAGAGATGAGAGAGAAAGTAGACTAACTAATCGGGGCATAGAAAATACTAAGCAGCGAGTGACAAGTGACGAGCGATTCGCGTAGCGAATCCATAAGCGACGAGTAGCGAGTGGCGAGTGATGTGAGAGAATGTAAACATATTAGATCGAGCCATAGTGAATTAATAAACAGCGAGTAGCGAGTGGCGACTGGTGAGAGGGTGCTATTCACTATACTAAGCGTAGCGAATCTAAAAGCGACGAGTAGCGAGTGATGTGAGAGAAAGTAGACTTAACAGTTTGATGACTAAGCGGACTAAGCGAAGCGAATCCAAAAGTGACGAGTAGCCACTGGCAAGCGTTAAAGGAGTATGAAAACGTAACAAGAGCTAACGAATAGTTCGAAGATGAAGCGATAGCAAACAGACGAAACAGTCAATTAGCAAAATATGTTGAGAGTAACGAGAGTGTGGGTAACGCATGCGATTGGTTGTGTGCGAGTGCCACGCCCAACGGCAGATCAAAGGATCAATCAAATGAGAAAGCAATGAAAATTCCAATTTGCATTGGCGCAAAATGTCTGAAGCAATGGAAACACCCACGGCCCGCCTCAAGTGTGCCAAATGCGATAAAACTTTTTAAATGCATTTCAAGTGGATGCCGAACATCAAACAAAACAACAGAACAGACCGAACAACAACAACAACAACAACCGCGAGTTAGGGGAACGAGAACGAGTACGAGAAAAAGGCAGCGAGTAGCGAAAAGGACGAGGCAAAAGGCTTTTAGACCACAGTCCTATGAAGTGGGCGCTCTGCTCTCTGAATCTGCACACACACACACACACACATACATGCACATAGGTAGACTGAGGGGAATTTAGTTGAGGGGATTGGGCGGGGGTTGGTCCAAGTGGCATTTGTGATTTATGCGACGTCTCTTTGAGGCTGAAGTGCAGATTACATTATAAATATGAAATAATACGAGTCGGCGCACAGGTCCTTGAGGACATGCGAAACGGAAATTGAAATTCGTGATCAAAAAAAAAACACACACACACACTCATGAGAAAACAAAATGGTAAGAGATTAAAAGAAAGTTGGCAAAAACAAAAAAAAAAAAACTTACAGCCGATTGCCCAAGTTATGTGAGCTTCAGCGAACAGCTTTAAAGAAAATATTCAGAATGGAAAACTTTGAATTACTTTTGATAGTATGTTATCGTATTTTCCGATAACATAAGATATCGATAGCAAAGTAAGCGACCCTCGAGATCTGGCGTACAAAGAGACAGAACGGAGTTACATTTGAATTGTTGGGAAAGTATAAAAAAAGAAATATAAATTTAAAAGAATTATAATTGAGCAGAAAGAAATATGAAAATGCGAAAATGTCTAAAGAAAATAAATAGCATGAAGACTAACTCAGATTTGAAAGCTGTGTTGGTAAACGTTTTTCCTATAGAGACCAGTGTCGGAAAAGAACAATTGCATTATTAAGCCAGGGCTGCATAAAGTAGTCATAAATTAATCAAATCTCATATTTTCTCCTTCAATCGGACTTTGTCCCAACATATTTAAGGCAGATATTTACTGAAAATATGGCAAGCCGTGAATATTTGCATATGGAAATTACGGGCTACATTTGAGCTCTTCCCAAAATTGGCAACTATCAATATATATGCAAATTTATAGATATATAGATATTATTAATAAAAATTGAGTGTTCAATTAAGAAACTAAATGACAGCAATAAAAACGATTATCACAGAAATAAATGTGATTTATTAATTCAACCGCAAAGTGAGAAAAAAAAAAACATAACGAACAAAATGAATAAAGCAAAAAATGCATTAGGACAACGCGGCGTATGATTAATGCAATTAATGCAATTGCAAAGGCAAGCGTTAAAGAGAGAGAAAGCGAGAGAGAGAGAGAGAGAGAGAGAGAGAGAGGGAGAGAGAGAGAGAGAGAGAGAGAGGGAGAGAGAGGCGTGACAGAGTGTGCTAATTAAACGCTGCTTTGGGCCAGCAAAAACGCCAATTGCGACGGCGGTCGTCAGCTGCCTGGGAGGGGGAGGGGGAGGGGGGGTGGAAGAGTGGGTGGGGGGGAGTTGAAGCCCAATTGCAAGCCAAGCAGTTCAATGAAATGGCATATTGATTATGCAATTGTTATGCAATGCGACTAATTAATCACAACTGCAGCAACTGGGGCACACACGCAGCGCGAGAAGCAGGAGCAGGAGCAGGAGGAGGAAGGGGGGCAGGGGGGTAGAGGGCTAATCGATATTGCGAGGGGAAGCTTCTTAATTAACACGGCCAACTTTCGACAACAATGCGTGCAATTTGGAGCCCAGGCGCCAGTCTGTCGACGTGGCTAGGGGCAAAGGGGGAGCAGCGGGCTAGAGTGCGGATGGATGGGGGGGGGGGGGGGGGGGGGGGGGGGGGGGGGGGGTAACTGGAAAGGCAATTTAGGAGCCAGTGACAAGCGAAGGCAGCTTTTGGAAATGGAAGGGAAATGAATATACAGAGCGAAAGCGGAGCCAAGAAATGAAAACCAAATGCAAATTAGCAGAAAGTGGAGCAAGGCGAAACTGTACACGAAATGTGCCATAGATATGACAGATATGTGGCACATATATGGCAGATGTAGCACAGAATCTTGACAGATATATGCCGGATATAGCTTTCTAATGTGTGATGGGAAGAAATACAAAGTTCAAACAAATATATTCCAATAATAATAATAATAATCGTAAATGTTATAAAAATGAAAATAATAATAATATGAATAATAATAATATTGCTAATAATTATAATAATATAAATACTAATAATAAAAATGAAAGCAAAAAAAAACAGTAATAATGATAATAATATTAATTTCATCGAGAAAGTTGAATAATAATAATTATCATTGTAATTCCCAACTGGATGAGACAAATTATATTTATATTAATAAAAATAATATTGATAATAATTATAATAATATTAATACTAATAATAAAAATGAAAGCAATAACAGTAATAACAATAATAATATTAGTACTAATTATTTTATTTTCCGACTATTTTCGTCGGGAAAGTTGAATAATAACAATTATCATTGTAATTCCCAACTGGATGAGACAAATTATATTTGAAAGCCAGCATATTTATGAAGAGTTTTTCATATTTTTTGAAAGTTCTTTTGACATTGCTTGAAAACTTAAAGAAAATGCATTAAAAGCTTTTACACGAGCGTTATATCTTCAAATAAGTTAGCTCATTATTTTCATTAGTTTTCCTCGCACGCTTTTCGAGCTGGCCCAGAAACCTGCTTGGAGATCGTGTGATCAATTGATCAGTCGATCAGTCGATCAATTGATCAATTGTTCGGGCGAGCTTGGCATATTTCGCTGGTAAACAGAATGCGCGCAATTCGATAGGCGGCAGTTATCGAATTGCGTAAACAATCGAATTTGCGAATAGTTTAAACAATTTGCGCACAGTGGCTGCAAACAATTGGCGCACAAGTGACCGTATTGCATGTCGGCCAATATTATAAACAAAAACAAAAATGCGAAAAAAAAATAGATGTGAAATAGTCATAAAATCACGTAAATCAAAGTCGCACACACACACACACACGCACACACACACCCATGCATAGAGACGCACGCATACAGGTCGCTGCAGTGTGGCCCGCCAAATTGGCGGCGCAAAACAAACTGAAATTGCGGCCGCTGCGCGCCCAGCAAAGGCCACAATTAACACACACGTGCACGCACACAGGCGCACACTGCGACTCACACGTATAGTGTGCACAGTGTACGTGTGCCGCCTTCCAGGCGAGAGTGCAACAGCATGCGGCGCGCTGCATGAGTGCGTGCGGGATAGCAAGCACTTGTATAGCACGCATTACCCCTGCAATTGGAAAGACAGCATAGCGCTGCGCAGGCGAGAGCGAGATGGCTAGCGCAGTGGCTATGCTGCCATCTCGCTGCCACGCAAAGATGGCGTAGCGAACGACAGCAGCAGCAGCGGCAGCAGCGACAGTGGCAGCCAGCAGCCAGCAGCCAGCGGCAGATCTCAGTCGACATTCGGCAAGCGGCGAAACAGTTGAAGCGCTTCCCCGGCGACGGCAAAATCAAGTACGCAAGGCGTGTGTGTGTGCGCGCATTATACAGAGGCAACGTGCGTTGGCGTTGGCGTTAGCGTCGCAGCTGGCGCTGGCAGCGACAGCGACGTTGACGTTGACGTTACGCTTTTGCTCGCGTGCAGCGCGCGCTTTGGTTTCAGTTCGTTTTCGTACGTTGTCCACGCCGAACGCAAACGGTCAGCGCCCACACAAGCAGAACAAGACACAGTTAGACGACGTCCAGTTGAGCACACGCACGCACACACACACACACGTGTACTGATACTGGCATTAGCATTGCCTGAGCAAAGCTCTCTGCTGGCGTAACGCATTCTTGTTTGTTGTGTTGTGTTGTCGTGTCTTGTGCTTCAAAAAAAACAGTTAAACAATTAAACACTCACACACACGATTTTCGAACTCGAATTCGAATCGAATTGGATTAGCAGAGGTGAAACATTTTGGACTTGATCGAATATTGTTTAAAATTGTGTGTTAGCATTTTTTTTGTGTTGTTGTGTGCCGCACATGTGCGACAGTGTGTGTGTGTGCATGTGCGCGCGTATGTGTGTGCTGATTTTTTTTTGTGTTCCTCTTTTCGTGTGAGCTATGCTAACCGTTAGCTGAACAAGTGCAATAAACCGTTATAATAGGCGAACTTTGCACGCTTCGAACGCTTCCTCTTACCGACGGCAAAATGCAAGCAACCAAAATGCGAACACCCTTTGCCATACAGGAGATCCTTGGCCTTGGCGTCGGCGTCGGCGTCGGTGCCTATCAACAGCAACAGCAGCAACAGCAACAGCAGCAGCAACAACAATCGTCGCAGGCAGCTGCCGCTGCCACGCCCAGCGCCAACGAGGCGCCACTTTCACCGGCCGCCACGCCCCCGCCGCGAAACGCCAACACACCGCAACAGTCGGCGGTTAGCAGCAGCGCCCAAAACGCTGCCCAAACGCTGGAGCAGCAGCAGCAGCAGCAGCAGACGAACTCACGCGATTCCCGCTCCATTTCGCCGGACGTGACACGCTTGTCGGCGGCCGCTGCCGCCGCCGCCGCAGCCGCTGCCGCCCACTGCCAGCTGCCCGTGTTCAATCCGGCGAATTTCTATGCTGCCGCCGGCTATGCCGCTGCCGCCGATCCGGCCAACGCAGCGGCCGCCCATCATCATCATATGACGACGCTGGCGGCGGCCGCCTATCTGCGGGGCTTTCTGCCGCCCGGCTTCAGCACGCCCCACGAGTTTCGCGGCCACTTTCAGCAGCATTTCGGCGCCCAGTTTGCAGGTGAGTAACAAGATGGTTGCATTTGCCGTTATAATGCGTTGAAGTAACGGCTAATTAAATGACGCGCGGCGACAAGGACAAAAGCTGCACAAAAAGCTTTGTCTTAGTGAGTCGATTGGCAAGGGGGCAAGGGGCGCGAGACTGAACGACAACGAAAACACAACGAAAGCAACCAACTGGCAAACTGAACGAAGCCGCGAACGAGCGGTCGGGCGAGCGGGCGGGCCACTCTTTAGGCGCAGCTCTAATAAGCTCAAGTTGAGGGCCGCAGCTCGCTCCGAAAAGGGGTTGCCAGATGCGGCGCAGGCCGCGTTTCTTCGCCTCGCTGGGCAGGCAACAATTAAAACAATAAAACAGCAAATTAAACACAAGTCGCTAATGCGGCGTGGAGGGGGGGCTGATGGGGAGGGGCTAGAAGGTAGTTATGATTAGGACAAAGGGTGCACATAGAAGCTTATTAATAACACACCAACACACCGACACACACACACACACACAGGCAGCGACTGAAGTGTGTGTGAGATTTCGCACTTCTCGCGGCGAGCCACTCAGTGCATCTGTATGCGTGCGTGTGTGTGTGGCGCTAATTAAGCGCATAATTATCGAAGCTCATGCAATGCGGCACTCCAATATGTATCCAATTCGAGTCCAATTCGAGTCCAATTCGAATTCAGCCTGAACAAAGAAAACGCAAGAGTTGTCGAAGGTTTATCATGGAAATATGTTATAAAAAATCGTTTAACTAACTCGCATGGGAACTAGCTCGTCTAGATAAGATCGTGAACGACTTAATTTAAAAACTTGGCAAATATTTAACAAATACTTTTGACAACAATATGAGAATTTGGTATTATGATCATATTAAAAAAAAGTATTTTAAGGATTAAAGTAAATTCTTGAAAAAGAAAATTTATGAAAAAAGCAATTTTCTAAATATCAAAAAAATGACTTAGACAGTTATCTGCGAAGGAATTAATATCTGCAGCAATATTATATATATATATATGTATATATATATAGTCCCATACGATTTTTGCCATATTCTATTGAAGCAAGGGCTTACTGAGATGAATCCCTTAGCAACTTCCGGCAACTGTAAACTATAGCTATAATATTTTTTATAATATTTTTTCATTTCGATTTTGTCAAAACGACTTGAACAATTGTGAAAGATTTCGAAAGATTTGCTTTATTCGATTTAATCAACTTTAACAGATGTGAATTAAATCATTTTTTCCCATTTACAACTTTTTTTTCTGATTTTCCATTTTTCCATTTATTTCTTGACAAAATCGGAAAAGAAACAAAAGCCAAGAAGGCAAAAGAAAAGTTGCTTGCCTTGAATATATATATATATATATATATATAATATTTACAATATATATACATTTATATAATATTAACAGTTTGGAAAGTTCGTCAGCATTATATAATATATAGATATATTCTAAACTGAAGAATTATTGGATAAGGTTTTTTCCCCTCGTTTCCGTTTATATCTTGACCTAGTCATATTTTTGGACAGCTGCCCTCTTTAGAGGGGCTTCACTGTACTCATGTCCTTGCAGCAAATATTTCAATTCGAACTCGAACAGAAAATCATCTTATCAGTTTTTTCAATATGAAAAACAAATCGAATATAAAAAGCGAATATATATATTCAATTAGCTTAAAAGGCATTCGTTGATTTATTTATTTACTAAAATTACAATTAAAATTCACAATTCTCTTTCGCTTTCCAGTCTCAAAATAAAATATGTATACAAATGCCAGAAAGAGCGTCTATCTTAAGGGCTTACAACTTCTTCTATGGCTTATGTTTTTGCGGCTTAGTTAGAAGAATTAGTAGGAAATCTAATTTTGCGAAACTAAGCAAATGCAAGCTCGACAACTATTCCAACAGCTAGATGTGTGTGATGGCATTATCTAGATGATAATTAGGTTGAAAATCAGAAATTACAACCATTTAAAACGTGCTCATCTTTCGACCGATTTTGCCCACAGAGATATAAGTTAAAGCAGGCCGATATTGATATGATATTGTCTATATAATTTGTAAAGAAAAACAAGGAATTAGTTTATATCATTTTCCATATGATATAGTAGTTCGATTCGTCCGAGTTATCATGAGTTATTAGTCAAGTTGTCTTAAACTATATGATTATCTAACTATATACTCTGCATTTGTCTAAACTATTTGATATATTAACATATTTATTAAGACTTTTTTTTGGATCTTATTATCCATGATAATGCTATATTATAGTATATGAAATATGATAAGAATACCCTTACTTACATAGATTAAGCACATCGTCAAGGTTTTCCATTTTATTATAAGGTAATTCTCTAATCCCCGCCCCTATCTCTCTCTCTCTCTCTCTCTCTCTCTCTCTGGCTCCCTCCCTTCAACTTTAATTTGCTCTTTGCTTCTTCTTCTTTTTTTTGGCTTATTTACTATTCAATTTTATAAAGTTCACCTTTTGGGCCATGTCGTCTTTGTGGCCCATATCGTTTGTTAGTTTATTTGCCTTAGTGGTCACGCCCACACACACACACACACACACACACACACACACACACACACACACATAGAGGGAGAGCTGCACACACATTTATTTGAATTGCTTTGACCACAGCTACACACACACACACACGCACCCACACACGCACACATACCCCTCTTTTCACGCTTTCGTGCTCTCTCCCTCTCCCTCTCTCTCTCTCTCTCTCTCGCGTGCTCTTTCTTTCGCTTGCATCCTTAAATGCTTGTGCTGCTGCCCACACACACGGGGCACACACGCACTTAATTTCTTCAATTTTCACACTTTTGCTGCTGCTTCTTCTTTGCCCTTGCCTTTATTGTTGTTGTTGTTGTTGTTGTTGCTTTCACTGTTGACCTTTCCGCAGTCTGCTGCAGCGTCTTCTTCTACTGCTGCTGCTGCTATTTGCTGTAGGGCCACATTTTGTCTGTTTGCATAACAAAGTTTTCTTCCAGTGTAGTTGTTGTTGTTGTTGTTGTTGTGGCAAACGCTTCGAGCCAAGTTGAGCCGTAAAAAAGGCAGCGTCTTGTCCTTTTCTATGGCCCGCACAATGGCCCCAGCAGCAGCAGCAGCAGCAGTGGCAATGGCATTGGCCATGGCGCTAGTTGTGTACAAAATAAATCGACTCGAGTGGTTAACCGCAGCGCAGGATCTAAAGAAGCTAGAGCAGTGGCAGCGGCGGGAGCCATGAGCAGGAGCAGGAGCTGGGGTGCATTGGGTGCAGTAGCATATCCTTTTACTGCGAAATTGCTACTTTGCTGCTGCTGCTGCTGGTGCTGGTGGCTCGTCACGTTGTTATCCTTAATTTGAGTGGCCATTGAGCAGCCGGGCAGGACAAACGTCCATGGCCAGCGGCGCAATATGGAGCATACTTTGCAGCTGCTGCTGCTGCTTCTTCAGCTTCTTCTGCTGCTGCTTCTGCTTCAGCTTTGGTCCCTTTTGCTTTTCTTATTTACTTGAAAGTCATGCCACGACCTGCGATATTCCGACGAGTCCTGCGAGTGTCCTGCGCGACCTGTGTGTGTGTGTCCTCTGCGTCTGCTGCGTCAATGTTGTTTTTTTTTTTCTTCTTTTTGTTGTTGTTGTTGCTCAAAGTCACATCGAGAGGCCTCTCGCTGGTGTTTGGGTTCGTTTTTTCGGCCTCTTCACCTGAGGATCGCTGTCAGCAGCTGGCGGCACTTGTCCCACGCCCATTGTGCCTGCTCTTCTTCTTCGTCTTCTTCTTCTTGTTGTTGTTTGTTTAATGGCCGCAACTATTTTTCACACATTTGCGTTGCCCAAGCAGATGACAAACAGCCAGCAAAAGGGCAATAAGCCTGGCTAACTGGCCAAGAGACTCGACTTGTTGTTGTTGTTGTTGTTGCTCATTGTTTGGCCTGAGTCATTGGGCATTTTGTTTTTTTTTTCTCAGTTAAAGCGTAAGTGGATTTGTCTTAATGGCAAATAATTGTGCCCCAATTGGTTTTGTAATTGGGCTTTCATCATAAATATAGTATATATATATATATGTATATATATATATATATATATGGTTGAGTGGCTTTTTCCAAGTGCGGGCCAGATTTGAGACTAAGCCACCATTGGCGAGACTCACAGTCATTCATTCATTCGCACATTTCTTTCTGTTCCTTAACTTATCTTTGTTGACAGTTGCGCAATCATAACAAGTAAGAGGTGCTAGTCGGGAGCTCTCGACTAGGGGATACCCTGAACCCTCTTCTTCCAACATCAAATGCATACATATATTCTATTTTAGAAGCTATATGTCATGTTTGGTGACTCTAGCTCTTATTATTTACCATAATTGCCCAAAAAACAGGATATCGATATCGATTTTTATCGATTGCTTGAAAACGGTGTAATTTATCGATTATCGGAAACAAACTCGATCTACGCGGGAGCTAGGATCACCTACATCAAGTCTCTAGCTCTTATAGTGCCTGAGATCCTTGCTTTAATACATACAGACAGACGGACGGACAGACATACGGACATGGCTAGATCGACTCGGCTATTGATGCTGATCAAGAATATATATACTTTATGGGGTCGGAGATGCTTCCTTCTGCCTGTTACATACTTTGGGCTTTCGCACAAATACAATATACCCTTATACCTCTTTTTAATGGGTTCAGGGTATAAAAAGCCTGCTCTGCAAAATATCTTAAAACTATACCGAAAGATATGCAAAATATATATCAAAATCTCTTTCTATATCCATATCTATCTGTATAATAGAATTGTATCAGGCAAACTCTGATCATATCTCATCTGTTCAAGCATTTCTCCACACTTCAGCAATTAACCTTTATAGATACATATATACTGGTTAATTGCTAGCATTAGGTTTTGCACATAATTGAGCCTATAACCGCATTGTGACAATCCCTTTTGTATTACTAATTGACCCATTTGGTGCCTATTAAATATCAATATTTTCTGCCTGCTTCTGAACCT